GGGTGGGCCCCCCCCCCCCCCCCCCCAGGCGACCTTCTTGGAGAAGAAGCGGGCCGCCTCCCTTCTCGCCAAGCTCGAGCAGGTCACGGCGGGCAAGGAGGCGGGCGGGGGCGCACTGCGGCCGCCGCCGCTCGGGATGTGCAAGCGGAGGCGGCTTTAGGGCGACCCAGAGGCATAAGAGGGGCGCTGGAACGGCGGGGGGGGGGGCGGAGCACAACATGTGTCGCAAGCGAAGAGGGATGGGGCGCTCGCTTGGCAGGAGGCATGCACCTGGCACTCGGCAGAGGACAGGTTAGGTGGGAGGGTACTTGCATGTGATGTCGAGGTGCCGGCAGGCTATTAGAGTGCTCCGCCGTGTGCGTAGAAGCTCTATACACTTGACTCTGTGCACGGTCGCTGCTTTTCAGTGATCGTGTCTAGCAGAGCCGTACGTGTACGTACGTCAGATTCACTGGTTGCATGCTGCATGCAAGTGTGCAAGTGTGCATGCTGTATCGTTGTGTATGTGTTCTTGTAGTTGTACGCACTTTTTGCGTTGAGGTTGACCGTTGTGATACGGCTCGTCTACGGGGCTTGTTGTGCGAGCTTTTTTAGTCGGAGAATTTTATAAAGACTTGCCGTCCTCGCGGGAGTCGCTTAGGCGGCTCCCGTGGTGTACCTGTGTTAGTGCCAGTGCGCGCCAGTCCCGAGTCCACTGTCCACCGTGCCAGAGTGTTGTGCGAAAAAAGAAACCGGGCCGACATCTCGCCTCTACACACTCACACGCGGAAAATTGGACGACACTCGCGACGCACTCACGCGCGCCACGTGCTCCCCCGCAGTCACTGGACTCGCACACTCTGCGAGGAGCGGCCCCACCGTGCTGCGATCGAGAAGGCGGCTGTCGAGCTGGGCCTCGGCAGCCGCGAGGAGCTGCAGCGGGCACGAGAGCCGCTCGGCGGCGACGTGCGCGACCTGGTGCACGGCCGGCAGCATCCAATGGTTGGAGAGGCGGTGGAGCGTCTCGCCGCCAAAGAGGAGCGCGAGGCCCTCGGGTGCGCCCGCTTCGATGTCGACCCACCCCTCGCGCCCCGGCGTGTGGTCGAACACGTGCAGGCCGGGGCTGGCTCCGAGGGGGATGAGCGTCGCCAGGCCAACGTCGGTGTGGTACGGGCAGTGCACGTCCCGCGCCACCTCGCCCGCCGCGCCCAAGCTCGGCGAGTACCGGAAGAGCGTAAGGTTGCTTTGGGAGAGCGCCGCCCGCGACGCCTGCTCCGCGAGTGGCGGCTCGAGCAGCGAGGTCGCCAGCTCAGCTGCCATGCCCATGGCGCCGCAAGCAACACCGACCGCGTCGGCAGCGACTGCGGCAAGTGCGTCGTACGCGCGCTCTGCGGAGCGGCGCAGGGCCGCAGCGGCGGGGGGGAAGGCCGCGGCGGCGTCTGCGCCGCCTCGAAGCTGGAAGAGCTCCTAGGCAGAGGTGGGCGCTGGTTGAGGAGAGGAGTGGCGCGGGGGCGTGGGCAGAGTGGCGGGGAGGGCAGTGCGCGCCTTGCAAAAGTGAGGCCGGTAGTGGTAGCCGAGGTACTGCCGCGCCGCGCCCGCCTGCTTGCTCTCGATCGGCAGGGCGCAGAAGGACGCCCACTCCGAGCGGAGCACCTCCACTGCGCTGCGCGCCTGTGGCGGCAGCGCGACGACGGCGAAGCCCGAGCGACGCCACTCGGCGAGGAGCTCGGCTGGGCGGTGGAGGCTGCAGCAGCGCGGAGCATCTGGGCCGCCCCACCGCTTCGCAATCAACTGGGGAGACACTTCGGCGGCGTCCGCGCGGCAGCTGGAAACGGAGGAGGCGGGGATGCCGGTGGCGGCGGCAAACGGCTCTGGCGGCCCCGGCGGCATAGGCAGCGCGTCGGTCTCGAAGGCAGCCACCACAGCCAGGAGCAGCTCGTGCTCCTCAGGGGGGGTCAGCTTGCCGCAGACGGCGAAGTAGCCAGACGGCGAATTCACGTAGTGCTCGCGGCGGTACTCTGCGTGCGAGAGGGCCTGCGCGTCGCTGTGTACCCGCACTGTCTGGTCGGCGGGCCGCAACGTCGTGCAGTGAACCACCTCCCCCTCGCGCAGCCGCGTGACGCCAGAGGCGTCGAGGTCAGCGCCGCCGACCAGCGAGAAGCGGTGCTCCTCGTTGGGCACCTCAAAGGCGCTCCGCACAGCCGCCTGCAGCTCCGCCAAAGGCGCCTCGCGCCGCTGCAGCGTGACAAGCCGCCGCTCGTCCGAGGCCGCGTCCGAAGCCTCGAGCGGCCGCTTGCGGGAACTGGCGAGAGCGACGATCACGCGAACGGGTGGGAGCGACTCCGTTCGGAACTGCCACGCCGCCTCGCCCGCTGCAGCGGCTCGCACGACGGCGACGTAGGTTCGCTCGGGCAGCAGAGGGTCCTCTGGCTCAAATCGAAGCACTCGAGTGGCGGCGTCGAAGCTCGCGCGCCCAGAGACGTGCTGGTCCATCCAGCCACGCACCTCGATGGCCGCGGAAGGGTCGGCGACTGACGCGGGCACAGTGCAGCAAATCGCGGCGTCAAGCGGAGCTCTGCAGGTGCCAGGCTCTGGCGAGCAGCACGTCACCGCCGCCGACGGGACTTGCGCCCTCACGAGAGCGACGTGAACTGCGTTTGTGCACTGCGTGCTCGACGTGCACGCCTCGAGCGCCGCGTCGTCTGGGAGGCTGCGAGAGTGGAGACGGACGGTGAAGCCGTCGGCAGGAGGAGATCCAGCGGGAAGCTGTCCGCTCTCGATCACGGCTTCCTTGAGTGCGCGGATCGTCGTGGACGGCGGGAGGTCGAGGGTGAGGACCCGCTCGCTGGAGAAGAGGCGGACGAAGGCGCGCATATGTGTTGCCAGGATGACTCTCAGCGGCGGTGCGCAAAAGGACTGATAGAAAAAAGAAAAACGCTCCGCTATGGGGTAGAAGAAAAGAGAATTTCTTCTGCAAGAATTTCCAGTGCTGAAAGAAAAACGCGACCGCCCAGGGGACTCGAGCGACCGCCCAGCCAGAGTCCACGGCGGGCCGCGCGCCCCCTCCCAAAAGCCGCCGCCATGGTCACCGTCAAAGTGCAGGGCCACGGGCAGTCGTTCTCCGTCCGGCTTCGCGCAGACGCTACTCTCGAAGAGCTCAAGCAGAAGCTCAGTGAGCGGCAGTGGGTGCGCGCGCAGCTGGATCGCGAGGACGTGCTGGCCTTCAAGCTGCTGGACCGGTCTGTCAACAAACTCGACCTGTGCCGTTTGGTCTCTACCTCTCCGCTCGACAGCCTCGGCATCACCGACGGCACCACCTTGGATCTGGCCCTCGTGATGGATCGATCAATGAAAATTTTCGTGAAGACGTTGACCGGCAAGACTATCGTTCTCGACGTTATGCCCTCCGACTCGATCGACAACGTCAAGGCCAAGATCCAGGACAAAGAGAGCATCCCGCCCGACCAGCAGCGCCTCATCTTCGCGGCCAAGCAGCTCGAGGACGGCCGCACCCTCATCGACTACAACATCCAAAACGAGTCGACGCTGCACCTCATCCTCCGCCTCCGCGGCCAGGGCGACCTCCTTTCGAACCACGTCCTCTCCAGCACACCTGCCGACGATGCGACCGACGTGCCGTGCGCCACCTCGGTCTCCGTCCTCGTCGACAGGAACATCACCAGCGTCCTGCCCGAGGGCGCGCTCACTCTGCGGCGCGTCGACGACAGCGGCGGCGACGAGGACGAGGACGAGGTGGTTCCAGGCGCCGTGGCGTACGACGCCGCCACCCGCGCCATCTCCTTCACGCCCAGCGCGCCGCTGCAGCCGTCGACCGAGTACGAGGTGACGCTCGACGCGAGAAAGTTTGGCGCGGCGTGCGGCTGCAGCTACATCGTCGGGGACTGGAGCGCGCGCTTCACCACGGCCGCGCGCGCGCCGCTGCAGCTGCTGCTGCTCCGGCGCGGCTCGACCGCTCCTGCCGCCTCGCTCGCCTTCCGAGGCGCGACGATTGCGGAGCTTGCCGGAGCCGCCGTCGAGTCGCTCGGCTGCGAGAGGGAGGATGTCTCACGCCTCCTCCTCGCGGCGCCTCCCTCTGCCGGCCGGCCCTCACTGCCCTGCTGCTCTCCTGCCGACCTGCCCGCCCGCCCGTCAGGTTGGCTCGAACGAGGTTGGCCTTTCGCGAGACGCGGACGTCGCGCAGCTCAAGGCGCCGCGGGCTCGTGCCGCGCCTTGGGCCCTCCGCTTCCCACACCCTAGCCCCTCCCTTCCCTCGCGCAGGATGGCGACCGCATCATCGCCGTGCTCCGGCCGGGCGCGGGCGGCATCACCGGCGTGCGCACGCGCGAGGAGATTGACGCTGAGGGGCGCGCAAACGCGATCGACGTCGGCGGCGCGGGCGGCGGCGCGGGCGGCGGCGCGGGCGGCGCGGGCGGCGGCGCGGGCGGCGCGGGCGGGAGCGATGCGGCGCGGCCGGCGCAGCGGCCTCGCGTGGAGCGGAGCGTGCGCGAGCGGCTGGTTGAGCTCAAGAGCCTCCATGATGAGGGGCTCATCTCGGATCCCAACTTCGAGGCGCGGCAGCGAGAGATCCTCTCCGACCTGTGACGACGCGGGCCGAGGGCGACCCGAGGGGCGGCGGCGGCGGCGAGACCGTCACCATGCTGCACTCTTGCTGGTATTCCCAGGCAGCTGGAGCTGCCTTTGTCTGTATTGGGCGCATGCGGAGGGGGAGGGGCACGAGCGAGGCGGCGCGCCCTCCGGGCCGTGAGCCGTGAGGCGACCGGAGGGCGTCTCCTTTTGAATCTTCTCGGAACCTTCCCGCAGGAGAGTGCCGCAGCAGTGCCGCCGTGTTGACTGTTGTTACGGTGTTCTGGTATGTTGTTGGCAATGTTGTTGCACCTGCGGAGCGTAAATCTAAAAGTGCTCGGGAGAGGACGAGTGCTGCGGCAGCCGAGGCGGACGTGGGACGAAGGAACCGGCGTTACCGCGCGGGTCCCCCCCGCCCCCGCACCCCTTTGCGTCTTGGCACGAGGGCTGCGTCAGAGAAGAGCGACAACCCGAGACAATGGGAGGACAAGCACGGGAGAGGAGCAGAACGAGACAGGAGCCACCAACGAGCGAGGCGTCCGCGAGACGCCGAAACTTGAGAGCACAAAGCCTTGCGATACCGCGTCACAGGAGCCTCACAGACAATGAGAGAATGCTTGGGAGACGACGGAGAGCGTGCGAGGAAGGCGACGCAGTCGGAAGAAGACGGCGAAACAGCAAGGCCGACGACAAGACGATCCGAATATTCGCATACAACCGACCTGGCCAACATATGGTAACAAGAAAAAGTGACACATACAGGAGGAGAGACACGGGCAGTGGAAGGACCTGGCCACCACACCGAGTGACGCGATGGCATGCGTGATCAAGATGATGAATGACCATCGCGGCGATCTTGGTGTCATCTCGGAGAGCACGACGACAGAGGACGAGAGAGCTGCAGTGATAGGGAGATGGGATCTTGAGGGGTATGGTGCCAGTATTGCCTGCGGCGAGAGGGAGGGCGACACCGACGCCGACGCCAACACAGGGCAGACAGGAGCGACATCGGGGGCGGGCACGAGCAGCGATCCGCAAAACGCCAAGCGCGGACGCGGGCGAACGATGTGGCGTGACCATCGTATGGAACACCGACAAACTCAAAAAAGTTGAACCAGAACAAGAGGTCGACATAATCGCTGCACGAGTGAGGAGGGTGATACTCGAAACACTCGATGGGAAACACCGAATCAGCGTGTACGGCGCGTATATGCCCGATACAGGAAAGAGCAATGACGAAATCGTCAAGGCGTGGAAGGAGCTCAAAGAAGCGATACGACACGACACGCACGAGAGGGTGCTCATCATCGGCGACATGAACGCTGTGACGCGGAAATGGGTGGAGGGGGGAGGGAGGCAAATGGGGACAGCGGACACGGAAATGGATGACCTGCTAGAGACCGAACAAATGGAGTCGCTGGGCACGGGCGTCGCGACACACAGGGGGGGAAGGGAGATTGATCACATAATAGTCGACGCGCAGACACGAGCACGAGCAAGCGAGGCGGAGGTCATGCCAGGAGAGAAAGACGATCACAAAATTATACACGCCGACATCATAATCGCAGAGGGAAACGCCGACGAAGGACAACACAGGCGGATTGGAGTGAAACTAGACGACTGGGACGAGGCGGAATGGGCGACGTACGTGAACGAGACGGGGTCCATGAAGAACATGTGGCAAATAGGAGGAGAGACGTGGACAAGGACGGGAGGAGGGAAATCATACATCGAAGAGGCACAGGCTATGATGGAAGCGGCGGCGACGGCGATCCGGAACAAGCGAAAGAAGGGCAAGACGCGAAGAGACGAGGAGCGGCCAGCGGCGAAGACGCACCGCGCGTCGCTCTGTTAACAGATTGGCCGGTGGTCGAGGCTAGCGGGGGAGGCGGAACGGGACCGAGGGGAGACGGGAGAGGACGGAATGGATCGCGATGCTAACGCTCAAGGCCGGCGGCACAGCAAGTGACATTGCGCAATATAGAGACCTGTGGCTCGTGGCACACGGACAGAAGCTAGTCATGCACATGCTAAGCAACGAGTACGACGAGGTAAACGCCAAGGTCATACCAGGATCTCAGGCGGGATGGGAATCGGGACGGATGTGCGCAGAGATGATAGTGACGGTACGATTAATGATAGAGCAGGCGGCGATCGAAGGACGCGAAATATGCATCGGCTTCCAGGATCTGTCAACATGCTTCATGAGCATTGCGAAGGAGATACAATTTGAGCTCGAGGCGGCGCTGGGAGTAGAACCCGAGATCAGCGCGGTGATCAAGGCGCTACACACAAACGTTACAGGGCAATTTGAGACCGAACACGGGCTGTCGGACGCATTTTCCCCCTGGATCGAGGCACGGGCCAGGGCGACCCGAACGGAGGGTCGAGGGCGAAGATGCCGATAGCAATGGAACAATGGACGGTGTCAAAGTACGCGAGAGGATTCGCAGTCACAAAAGGAGAAAACGGGCGGGTGCCACAGCTATATTACGCGGACGAATAGAAGGCGCGCCAATGCGACTCCTCGACGGGACGGAAATTCCACAGATACGGGCGGAGCAGGCGGACATCGCTTCCAGGGAGGGGGGCGCACTTCTCTGCACACCACATGCTAGGGGGGGGGTCCGACCCCCCCCAGCACCTTCACCACATGCTAGGGGGGGGGTCCCGCCCCCCCCAGCACCTTCACCACATGCTAGGGGGGGGGTCATGGCCGAGGACCCCCCCAGAGACTCGTGGTCAGACCCTCCGGGCCCTTGATTTTACGCCTCATTTAGCAGCATTTTCGAGGGGGAAATCATCCTTTGGAGCTACATGAGCCTTGAGACTGGTCAGATTCTCCAAGATATTGGACTTTCAGCCAGGATTTCACAACTTTGGGGGCAAAATCGGCTCTCTGGCGGCTATTCCTAGCCCACGAACTGCTGGGGGGTGCCCCCCACATGCTAGGGGGGGGGTCCGACCCCCCCCAGAGGCTTCACCACATGCTAGGGGGGGGGTCCCGACCCCCCCAGCACCTTCACCACATGCTAGGGGGGGGGTCGTGGCCGAGGACCCCCCCAGAGACTCGTGGTCAGACCCTCCGGGCCCTTGATTTTACGCCTCATTTCGCAGCATTTTCGAGGGGGAAATCATCCTTTGGAGCTACATGAGCCTTGAGACTGGTCAGATTCTCCAAGATATTGGACTTTCAGCCACGATTTCACAACTTTGGGGGCAAAATCGGCTCTCTGGCGGCTATTCCTAGCCCACGAACTGCTGGGGGGTGCCCACCACATGCTAGGGGGG